TTTTTAAAGCGTGGATGATAAAGTAATTCCCTTCTTGAATGTTAATAAGCAGTGACATTTATCCACTTTATAAATGGAATTGACATGTTTCAATGGAGGCCTCCTGCTCATCAATGCAAGTGTACGAGTTACTTTTTCATATTAGCAGGATTGTGAATAATCTATTGGTACCGCTATTATGTGTAATCTTTATTATCTGAACTCCAAGGATCAAGGATTCTTCCAGCTTTGATTTCTTCATCAACAGGAGCTACAAAACATGCTATTGTAGGTGATGTCTTTCTGCACATAGGGGCTGGTGTATGTCTGTGTACGTAGGTGGTTTTCAGCCACTTCCTTTTGTAAGAAATGAAAAAATAAAAAAAAACAACCAAGGACAGCGTGTTCTGAAAACGACTGCTTTCACTTTGCAGAGCAGCCGCAGAGAGGTCGATGACGAATGTGAAAGCCACATATTTTCTGCGAGTGAGATGGGAGCGAGCACCTTCAATAATAAGCCTCAAGGTGATTGAAGACAAGTGCACAGTGACCTCCATTTATTGTGCGCTCTGTGTTTACGTAATTGTAATGGTTTGCGGTCCTGTGAGATGTGTACGGAACAAAAACACCTCCACAGAAACACTTGTAAACATACCACAGGGGTACTGACAAAAGACAAACTCATTGACTTCCTTGTCTAATTGCGGTTTGTCAGTTAGCTTTGTTAATTAAGACTTGTAAATTTTCACATTTCATCCTGCTGCTCATTTGTCTGCACGTCTCTAACTGCATTGTCACCACAAGGGCGCTAAGTATAATGTGGGAACAAAGGCTGCTGTTTTGGCTGACTAGCGAGGCTTTTCAAGGGTTTAGTGGTGGCTGCTCTGTACATTATGTTCAAATGTGGGGTATGTCTGGTGACAGCTTTGGCTGCTTTGTTGGGAGGTATCATAGCCCCACTCTTGGAGCTGCAGAGACATGCTGCTAGGGTTTTTCGCTTAGCCTAAGTGTCCTCCTTGAGAGGAATGCTGCCAGATGCACATGGACTTAGAGGTTCATATTCATCCCTGTTTGCTGTTGTTGAACATAAGAGAAATTTAAATCAATTTGAGAATTAATAGTGTTTATTATTCTATGATAATATGTAGCCAGCTTACATTCAAATTTTTGTTTAACTTTGTGTTTATGTCTTTCATTTTCACGCCAAACACTTATATTAACGGTACTACGCAATAAAGGAAATTGTTGGTTATATTAAGCAACTTTAACAAAACAACAGACTGTTTAATAAAAACAGTTCATTCATCCTACACAAAGCATGCTTGGTAATGCAGTTATAGTTGTGTTTATTCCTCTTTCTTCATATTTGGAGTTACATGAGATAGTCAAATGTTTTTGTTGCTTTTTTTTTTTTATAATTTATGACTTTTTTTGGCTTAAAATAATCTATAAATCATTAAAGGAAAATGAAAATTTCAAACAAATATGCCTTCAAATAATTGTCTAATGCACTAAAATTGAAGAGAGAAACCAAGGATTTGCAGGATCAGAGGGTACATCACATCAGAAGGTACTTTGTAATGCTTCACATGTGATCACAGGCTTCTAAGAAAAAGTTAAATACCGTACTGAGTGACGGTTTCAAAAATCATGTAGGCACCACACACAAGCTCCTCTTCACGTACACACCCACATGATCCCACTCCTGTGTTATCGCTGTTTGATCAGCAACACTGATAAAGGTGAATCGAGATATCTACACGCGCACACACACACGCACATGCACACACACAACACCAGAAAGCTTTATGTAACCTAATCCTCTTAGTGCTGAACTTTTGCAAACTTTCCCTCAGTTTACTTTCAATGCACAGCTGCAATACCATGACAGTGTGACATTCCCAGAGTTGGCGATGTTGTCTACTCAACAAATGTGTGTGTGTGTGTGTGTGTGTGGTGAGTGCAAAACACTGTTTTCTTTCTCTCTCAACTTTCTGAGATCATCACGTAGGCTAATAACACAGATAACTGTTGTCACAAGTCAGTGACTCTCTTTCTCACAGACATATACTCACCCAATCAGACCCACACTACTACACAATATACAGTCATAGGGGTACAGTAGACATACAGTAGCAGACAGAGGCTTTTTCAGGAACTTGAACTGAAGAGCTTTGAATCCTGTGCAGAAAATATCATAACATTATGTTTAAATGTATTCAAGCCGTTAACTCAGAAATCATCTGACTTATTTCCTACACCTTAATTGAAAATAAGTGGCAACTCATAGTTTTACCTACAGGACAAAAACTGGATTTTTTTTGTCACAACTGTAATAATTATTCAGTTTTTAATTGCTACAGACTGCTTGACACAGATCCCGTGTTTACCTTCAAACGTACATTCCTTTCATTCGCTGCATGTGAAATATGTTACCTCTACTCAGCCTTGGTCTCTTGACTTATCGCCCTTTAAGCTACTTACAACGCTTAACCACATGTGAAAAAAATGGGGAACGAAGGGTGAGACGAGAACACAATGTCCTAGACGTTCAAGAGTTGAAAAGTGGGTCAGAAAGTTTGAGACAAGGCGTGTGCTTCCTCCTGCTGGTTGTTGATTGTAATGTAGGTGGCCTTAGTGGGTGGTTTCAGATCAACATTCAGCAGATGAATTAATGTAGGACCACAATACACTGTGAAGCTAATAGAAAGATTTAGATTTTTAGTGGATTTAGTTATTTCAAGCAAACTAGTTTAGTTTATTTATGACAAATAGACTGACTGTAGGAGTATATCAAATGCAAATGAACCCCTTTTTAAAGAAGTTTATATGAGTTGAAATAAAAAAAACAATGTAATCCAGTCTCTGCATATTATTTTCCGGACATCCTGTCATTCAGGCAACAATCAGACCCTCTTTACCTGGTGTGCAGCTGCTGTCTGAGAACATCCTCATCTTGGTTTGACAAGTTGTTAGATACTTTTCTGCACATCGCTGTGGAGTAGCACAGTAGTCGAACCGAGTTGAACTGTTTTGCTTTCCACCTGTCTCTTGAGTGCGGGTTAGTGTGGTTCCTGGATGGTCTGGTTGTGTAAGAAATGCTCTGAGCCAGAATCCTTGGACAGCTGCTTCTGACATGTCTGGTACCAACCATTAAATCATATTTAGGCTTCCTTAGATCACTCAGCAAGTCCATTTTTAGCTTTAGTCTGGCAGCCAATGAGCCTGCGGATCCTATATACTGACTGTGTATGTGTGACACGCTGTGTGACAGTTTGAGATGTGATGTCAGGTAGTTATCTAACCCTTGCAACAACTCTACCTCTGCATACATCCTCTTTCCACTATTCTGCACATATGTTAGTCGGGTAAAAATGGTCCAGCACCTCTACATAGACAACCAGAGGCAGTATGCATGCACTGAGTTTGCTGTTGTGCACTTAAGTTTTAACTTTGACACTTGTTCTATCCTAACCTTGACTTGGGTCCTCTACATGGCAGCATATACGCTGCAGAGACAGAGTGTTATCTACCTTCCATTAGATGTGTTTATAAGGCATGTCCTTCAATGGTAGAAGGCCAATGTGTGTTTGTGCATGCGTGTTTGTGTACACCTTATCACACGTTATCTCACTGATAATGCCCTGATCTGTAATGATCACATCCTCCACAAAGAAAATACCAGGACACAGTGTGCATTAGCTCACTGGAGTTTTTCCCTTGAATGAAACATGAAATGCAAAATGGGAGCAGTGTGATGTGAACATTTCTCATCCCGGTGACACTTTAGGGCAGCGTATGGACTACTTTGTCAGCCTCATGTATTTGAACAGGTGGAATGAAAACAACACAATGAAGACACTGGATTGAGGTCTATTATATATACAGTGGATATAAAAAGTCTACACACCCCTGTTCAACTGCCAGGTTTTTGTGATGTGAGAAAATGACAGCAAGATAAATAATTTCACAACTTTTTCCACCTTTAATGTGACCTACAACCTGTACAATGCAATTAAAAAACAAACTGAAACCTTTAAGGGGAAAAAAAATAAAGTTAAAATAACCTGGTTGCAAAAATATGCACACCCTTAAACTAATATTTTGTAGCAGCACCTTTGGCTTTTATAACAGCACTCAGTCTTTTTGGGTAGGAGTCTATCAGCGTGGCACATCTTGATGTGGAAATATTTGCCCACTTTTCTTTGCAAAACCGCTCCAAATCTGACAGGTTGCGAGGGCATCTCCTGTGCACAGCCCTCCTCAGATCACCCCACAAATGTTCGATGGGATTCAGGTCTGGGCTCTGACTGGGCCATTCCAAAGTCTCAATCTTATTATGGTGAATCCATTTTTTTGTTGATTTAGATGTGTGCTTCAGGTCATTCTTGTGCTGAAAGATGAAGTTCCTCTTCATCTTCAGCTTTCTAGCAGAAGGCCGAAGGTTTTGTGCCAACACTGACTGGTATCTGGAACTGTTCATAATTCCCTCTATTCAGACTAAGGCACCAGTTCCAGCTGAAGAAAAACAGCCCTAAAGCATGATGCTGCCACGTCCATGCTTCACTGTGGGTATGGTGTTCTATTGGTGATGAGCAGTGTTGATTTTGCGCCAAATATACCTTTTGCAATGATACCCAAAAAGTTCAACTTTGGTTTCATCAGACCATAACACATTTTCCCACATGCGTTTGGGAGATTTCAGATGTCTTTTTGCAAAATTAAGCCGAGTTTTGATGTTTTTCTTTGTGAGATGAGGCTTCCATCTTGCCACCCTACCACATAGCCCAGACATATGATCACCTACCCCATAGACCAATCATATGACATGATTCAGTGTTGCTGTCGGCCTCTTGGCGGCCTCCCTGACTAGTTTTCTTCTGGTCTTATCATCAATTTTGGACGGAGTTCCTGTTCTTGGTGATGTCAACGTTGTGCCATATTTTCTCCACTTAATAATGATGGTCTTCACTGTGTTCCATGGTATATTTAATTCCTTGAAATTCTTTTGAATTCACCTAGGCCTGTCACGATAACAAATTTTGCTGGACGATAATTGTGCTACAAATTATTGCCGATAAACGATATTATTGACACCGTTTTTTAAATTATAGATAATGATATTAAATGGCATAATAATGCGAGTACACCCTGTCAAAAGTGATAAACTTTAATTTCACCCACGACGAAGACGTAACGTTGACGAGCTAAACTTAAGTCGGAGATGACTAAAATGTGACGAGACGAAAGTGCGTTTACGTTGATGGGACGAGACGAAAATGACGAACAGAGTTGCAAAACTCAGTCAGTTAAACGCTAAACATATAGGAGCAGCTTCAGTCCGCTCTGACAGCTCTCATCAGCCTGCTGTGCTCCTCCAACACACAAACACACAAACGCGCGAGCGCGCACACACACGTGGAGGTTGACGAAAACAAAACTGGTTTAAAGCCGAAATATTCCCACACTTGGGCTGTTGCGTTCGGTTTAGACACCAAAGCTGTCGTGTTCATTCTGTTTGCTTGCTTTTCACTCACGACGCTCACTTGCAGCACTGTATCCAAAAGTCTGTGTCTGTGTGCCTGTGCGCGCCTACGTGTACCTGTGCGCGCGCCCCCCCGTGACAAAGATACTGAATGACTGACAGGAGGGTTCACTAACTCCGTTCATTCCGCTATAGAGCCAACGCCCCCAGGTGCCGAGAACAATGCGCAGAGTGAGACCTCTTCTCTCATCCAGCGTGTTTGGTAGCGAGAGAGGAGGAAAACAAACGCACGTTAATTATCGAGGCTGGCAAAATGACCGACCTCGTTTTTATTTACCGAGCGATAAGGCGATTTATTGATTATCGCGACAGGCCTAAATTCACCTGACTGATATCTTTGAATAATGAGATCCCTCGGATGCTCTGAAAGCTCTCTGCAGACCATGGCTTGTACTGGAAGATGTGTCTACAAAAATGTCAGGAAAAGCTACTAGAACAGCTGAACTTAATTTGGGGTTGATTAGAGGCACTTTAATTGGTGACAGGTGTGTGCTGACTCCAATTTAACCTGAGTTTGAATGTTATTGGTTAAATCTGAACACAGCCACATCCCTAGTTATTAAAGGGTGTGCAAACTTATGCAACCACAGGATCTCAGTTGTTTATTTTTACTTCCTTACCTCCCTGAAAGATATCAGTTTGTTTTTCAATTGTGTCGTACAGGTTATAGGTCACATTAAAGGTGGAAGAAGTTGTGAATTTATTTATCTTGATTTATTTTTTTTACATGACAAAAACCTAGCAGTTGAACAAGAGTGTGTAGACTTTTTATATCCACTATATATATGCAGACATATTTAACCCCAGATTTTACTGCTGCTTTAAACTCGGTTGTCTGGAAATTCTTGCTCTCAGTAAGCAAAAATAAAAGCCTGATTTCAAGATTGACTATACAAAATGTCTACTCTGCTGTATCTACAACATTTGAGATCCCAAAATACCTTGTCTGCACAGAGGAGACTGTGAACTCGTCATTGCAACCGCTATTCAAATAACCTGTCTCCCCTGATCATTATCTTCAAGAAGGCAGGGCTGCGTGTGGCTCTGCAGGAAAGTTTTCATCTGGGGAAGAGACAGCAGGAGGAGAAAACTGACAGTGGGAAGAATCTATCACAGAGGCAGAGAGATACACAGTGAAAGTGGGATTAAACTGTCCCTGGCCTCTTCATCCAGACACTTTGTAGTGCTGACCTGCGCACGAACCAGACACCGAGTTTCTGAGAGGGGTTAACAAGGGGAGTAATTAAGGAATAAAACTATCTGCCAGCACTTTCTTTTCTCTCTCTTTCTCCCTCTGACTCTTCCTTTCTTTCTCCCTCCAATGCTGCTCCTCTATCAACTCAACTTCCCCTTCTCCCAGAGCCCTTTGTTGGCTCGCTGCTCTGCTCTAATCTGGCATGCCGTTCCCCTCCTAATTTGGGGACTCATTACAGGAGTGATTATCTCTCTGCACACTGCGTTAGTTAGGAAGGAAGGCGCTGATGGTGTAGGCTGTCGAGCTATCTGGGCTGCAGCTTATAGCGTGAAATATACAGTATATTATTCTGTGATATTCTGCCCATTACAGTAAAGAGGTTATGTGATAATGAGTCAGATGGTAATGTTTGAGTAAGTCTGGGCTCTGTCCTTTTGTGTGAGTATCTTTCCTGCGCCATATATCTGACTGTAACTTCAAGGATTTTCTATAGAAACAGTGAGAAGAAAAGCACGACTAAAATCAATCCACTTGATAAGATTATTAAGCTTTCATATTTCTACACTATTTAACTCTGCTATTGGGGCCTGGACTATAATGTGCTATATCAAAACTATACGCTAATCGGTCATAAAATTATAGTCACCGACAGATGAAGTACAAAAACCAACAGTGGGCCAAGAAAGGAGATTTGGTGAACTGGCAACAGGGTGTAATGCTCGACTTACCTCGAAGTCATAAGTCACCGAGTTGGGAATGACGTCACACCCGAGTCACCGGTGTTTCAAGTCGGAAAAAAGCAAAATCGGAGGCAGACACAAGATGGCCTTGTCCTTGCTTATATCTGGACAAGGCAAGTGCTAAAATAACTTTTGTAGATGTAGCCATCTTGTGTCTGGCTCCAATTTTGCTTTTTTCGACTTGGTAACTCGGGTGTGACGTCATTCCCAGCTCGGACTTCTGACTTCCGAGGTAACTCAAACGCAGCAATAGAGAGCCAAGACTCACTGATGTGTGGGGTGTGAAGGCAGGCCCCTGTAGCTTGATCCAACAGAAGAGCTTCTGGAGCTCAAACTGCTGCAAAAGTTAATGTTCGCTCTAAAAAAAGACGGTGTCAGGACACAGAAAACATCAGACTTTACTGTGTCTGATGGTGTGTACCTGCTGACCCCCAACCACTAGGCTACATAAAGCTCCCACAGTGGACACACGATCATTAGAACTGAACCATGGAGTAGTTGGAGAATATGTTTCGAACAGCAAGCTTAAGGTGTGGACTAAATCTCAAAATTCCCCAGATCACAGTTGAGCATCTGTGGGATTTACCGGACAACCGACACCTCTCCATGGAGACCGACCTCATGAATTGCAGGATCTGCTACTCACGTCTTGGTGACAGATATCACAGCCCACAAACTGATTCTTCATTGGATCAAATAGATGAAATAGTAAGAATCTAAATCTTAATCCAGGACCTCCACTGAACTTCCAGTGTTAGTCTAACCTTGAATCCAAACCAACTGAGTTCTCCAGACCTCCCTCATCCTTGAAAAGATTTATCAGAGGATTTAAGTGAAGGAGTTGCAGGGCAGCTATGAGACAAAAGGGGTAATATTCAATCTTGCCACATGATGGCAGTAGAGAGCAGTGTTTTTGCTGGTATCACCAGGGCCACACTTAACTCAGAGAAACCAGATTGAACTTTGTTTAGTCGGGGCAGATTCAGTGCAAATGCTGCAAAGAGAGAAAAACAACTTCTCTGTACATGTGTTGATTTAGGACTGTATATAGTCATAAATTAGCATATGTACAGTTAGAGTGCAGTGCATAATGCTGTTGCTATGATATGATGTCGAAGTGAAGGGTGTACTCCTGTGCAGTGTAGTTTCCTTCCTGAAAGACATCAGATGAACTGGAAACTGCAGATGACATCTCTGCATTTAAAATGTCATGCTAAAGTTGAATCTGCCTCTCTATTTCTTCCAAAATTAGAACATTTAAAACACACCATCATAGAAACACATTGATTCAGGTATAAGTGCTGCTGTTTGGGGCTGCAGTGGTCGATGACTTTAGTAGCTGAGAATCCTGCTGCATATCCTGACGATTACTTGGGTGATGAAGTAAGACATATTGCATGCTCAGCAGTTATTTTCATTGAATGTATTTCTACCCTACAGCATGAAGGATCTTCCTCAGTTGTGGCGTAGATATCGTATGATTTAATCCTGCCTTATCTCATTTAAATACACATTAATTGATGTTGAACGCTCCTGCCAATGAATCTTGAACATTACCGTGAGCTTTTCCCACTCGACTGGACTCGACTTGTTCTTTGTTGAGGTGCCGCAGCGTTGGCGGAGTGCTGTAGTGGCAGGCGAATCCTCTCTCACAATAGGCACACTACATCTTGTTTTGTGTTTGTTCTGACTTGTAGTGAACTTTAGACTCTTGTTTAACTCTCATTTTTGTCCCTTGATATTTTCTTATGTCTTTTCCTCCACATTTTGTAGAGTCTGCATTTCTTATTCATGTTACAGCAACAGTGGAAAAGTAGCTCACATTGCCACCCACTGTAAAGTTGTACAGTATACCTAAACGAGGCCTTGGGGCATTTGATTAATAAGTTATTTGCCTTGAGGCGTTTTAGTAATCGAATTACTTGAGTTATTGGAGAAACTGTTGCAGCTTTACTGTTGTAACTTTTTCATGTTTGGAGGTTTAATTTTAATATCAACCCATCAGGATTTAGACTTATAACTTATAAAAATGTGATAGAAACTTATCAGTTTGAAATTCTTTATTCTTTATTCTTTATTCATACGGATCCCCATTAGCTGCCACCAAGGTAGCAGCTACTCTTCCTGGGGTCCACAAATAAACAAACAATACAATACAAGACAATACACTACATAATTCAATAAAATATGTACAGTCTTGCAAAGGTCATTCAAGACAATAAAAGTCCAGTAAAAAGCAAACCACCAACAAAAAACAAAACAAAAACAAAACAAGAAAAAAAACAAGCAGCAAACAAATTAAACTAAAATTTAAAAGTCAGTTAAGATTACAATTAAGATTAGTGTAATTTGTCAGGTGTCTTTTAAGGAGTCTCTTAAAACTAGCCTTACTAGGTGCTTCCGTGATCATTGTCGGTAACGTGTTCCAAATGGTAATTGCTCGATACACTGACTTGTGTGGATAAAACACAAAACTTTCCATCCAGATTTGACGCCCTGGATTTCAGTCACTAGGACTCGCTTCATTTGCTCACATACGTGAAGTGAAAACATCTCCAACTGGCCTTGATTATGATTTATGCACCTCATGCGTTAACTGCTGCGGCACAACACACGGCATACAAAAGATAAGGTTCTCTACATATTACATGTTACGCAGGAAGAGGTTGAAAGTTAATCCTAGATGTGGCCATTGTGTGGGTCTGCCTGAGCAGTGATACAGCATGACAATGAGGCTAAATGTTCAGTCCCATTGTTGTTGAGGTAGTTCATTATCCTGCGTCTGATAGCAGACACTCATGAAAGAGATGAGCGTAGGAGGATATTGTGTCAGAGGCTTGTAAGAAGCAATCCACTGGTTACGGATGAATTTAACTAATTAAACGAGTGTCCCATTAAAAAGCAGGTTGCTGCTCTCGATGTGACCCGAATTAAAATGTGCCAAACTGTTCAGGCCCACGGGCTTTTTAAAGCAACTTTGTTTCTTTTAATAATCAAACATCCATTTGTGATTGTTCCTGCACACTCAGGGATTCCATCCTTTGGCACTCACCGGCCGCTAGTTCGACATAAGGCAGCAATCAATTGCTAATTCACACACAAGTGGACAGGAGTCTTCAGTCAGGCCAGCAACTCAAAGGCACTAATTCAACAACTGCTCAGCCTGTTTGTATCCCAAGCGGCTGTTTGTAAAGATCCACAGTGACCACACAAATCCTGGCCAACGTGATTGATGTTCCCCCATATGCAGGGCCAGAGCTGCGGATAAAGAGACTTGGATCGCCTGCAACTTTATTGATCGGCCCCGCCAAATAAAGATGACATTTGCTTGCTTTAATAGATCCCTTAATTTGTCATGCTAAGTGAAAATGTAATTCATTCTCAGCAA